TGTCTTCGATTTGGACCAATTTGGGCCAAGATTGAGTTGAATTTAGTGTCATTGGGTTCATATTTTGGAGACGTTCAGTTCGGCTGTAAGTTTGCTGAAATTAGAGTTCATATGGATCAATTTTAATTTTGGAAATTTTCCGGCTTGATTTTGTCTTGAGATTCGTGTCCTATCAAAATAAATTTTTAATGACAGATCTAAATTATTAACAACTAAATATTGATATTATTAAAATCATTATATTTAAAATATTTTACACCTCTTTTACTCCCACTCTAACAAAGAATTTGAATCTAAGCACCAATCATGAGAAAATTGAGAATAATGAATGGATGATCATTGTAATTAATTATTATTATTATTATTATTTAATAAATAAAATAAACTAGTATTCTTGTCAAAGGATGTTAAATTTTCTATTTGTTTTCATAAAAAATCCAAAATGTGGGGAGTTTTTGACAAATATCCGTTTTCTGTTTTATTTGTAACGCGGTCTACTTTTTTTTTTTTTTAAGTTCTAACGTGCAGCTCCGCTCTAGTAGTAGTAGGTATTGGAGACTGGAGCTAAGGCGGAAAGCAGGGGCTAGCTTCTTGTCGGATGCCCTACAGTCGCTGCTGCCACCACCGACATCCCCGATGAGCACGCCGGCGTTCGACGTTCTCGGCAAGCACTGCGGCGTCGAAGAATGCGAGCTGATCGACTTCCTGCCCTTCAACTGCGACCGATGCGATCAGGTTTGTCTTTTTGGATTATCATTCTTGGCTGTCCGATTTGGTGTTTTGGATAACTATGTATGGAATTGATAGGAGAAATATGAAATGGGGGAAAATGCCTAATTGTTTCAACTTCAATTTTTTGGGTTACTTGTGAGTTCGATTGGGTCAGCGTGGTGCTTAACGTGATATTTACGTATTACATAAACCAGCCTTTTCGGATGAAGCTTTGTTTATGGTGGTATTGAATTGATCATCTATTTCTGACAAAGCTGGTTTAGTGATTTTTTGGGAGATTGGATATTTTTTGTTCGTTGATGTTTCAATACTTTGAGCATGACATAGTACAAAGACTGCAGCATTTGGCTCCTCGACTCGTTTTACTTGTTTGATTATGATGTCATTAATACATTTTGTTGATTAAGTATGTTTTAGTTGCCGGCTGATCTCATACATTTGTTTAAAGAGAACGTATGCTGCTTATTATGCCATCAATAGGCCTTATACTTGTGAGTTGGGGCATGCTACAAAATTCACAGTTGAAGAGAAAAATATATTAGCGTCATAGCATTAATACAAAGATTCGGCGCACTTAAATAAAAAAAGAGTTGCAAGGGATACCAGAGCTTTTACGGAGAAATACTAGAAAGAAAGTAATTATGGGATTTGGCTCAATTGAAATGATTCTGCTAGTGTATTTCGTTGGTTACAAATGATGTTCAAGTGTGTAAACGAGTCGAGTCAAGCTTGAATCACCCCCGACTTGAGCTTGAGCTTGATTAATTAATCAAGTTCAAGTTCGAGCTTTATTCTACAAGTTCGAACTGCTCACAAGCTTATGAAAGAGAGAAAATGGTTATAATTCAAGCAATTATTATAATATAATGATAAAGTGAACGAGGAATTAAAAGAAAAATAATGAAGAATCACTTAATATAATACACTGAGATTTATTTTTTTAAACATATTTTACAAAGTTGTATTTAAAATATTGAATTCTAATATATTTTAAGTGGATTTTATATTAATATTTTTAAATGGCTTGCGAGCTAACGAGTTAAGTCAAGCTTTGCTCATTAGCTTATCGAGCTCGGATCACGATCCATTTATCGAGCTGAGCCCAAGTCAGCTCACGATTAGGCTTTACTTACTTACACTTCTAGTCATGTCCTAACCCGTCATTAAGGAATGCATTGATGCAATAAAATAAATACTAATTTTAGATGATTAATTACATAGTGGAAATTATAAGAATACTGGAACATTGGAGCTAACTTCTACATAGCATTTATTATTTTTTCAATCATTCTTCTTTGAAAAGAGGATACCAGTCAACACAGACCAAAAATTTCTTTAGAAATATGCAATTGTTGTAAGAGAATCATCGACCACTTTTATTTTTCTATTGTTAGGCTGGGGTTTGTAGATTTAAAAAAGGTTTGCAATATTGATCATGTGTTTAGTTGTAAGATCCATGTGTGAGGGAAATTATTTGAAGTGCAAAAAATAAAAGAGTTAGAAGTCGTACTCCTTTGGACCATAGAGCATAATTTGGATGGTTTTTTTGGAGTTGAGTAAGCTCCCAAGTTTATCATCTTCTTCTGGTTTGAGCTCTTCTGATCCCATAAGATAGGTCTGCCCTTTTTGGTGACCTTCTTTATTTCTACCATAGTTTTGGGGCTTTCCATGGAGATTCTAGCATTTTTCTTTGATGTTTTCTTTATTCTTGTAGTAGTTATCATAGATTGTTTTTGGAGAAAGGTTTTTACCTTTCTTTTAAAGAAAATTAATGTCTATAATAATGAGTTCCTTACCTTAGGGTTCAGTGGTTGTCATGCTAGATGTTTTGAAGATCAGAGCCTCAAGCATTAGCATCATTTTTCTTATTTGGCTTGTGTGAGAGAAAAAAAAAATTTATGTAGTGATGGTAGGTTTCTCTTCTTAAGGTTTGAACACAATTTTGGTTGAAATCATTATTGACTTTTACAAAGAACTCAAAACACCTTTTCTTGTTCTATAAATTACTTGAAAATTATTGTATCATTGCAGCATGTAATATTGAGATCTTGGTAATATTCTTGTTCGAGCCAATAAACATTCATTATATTAAAGTACTTAATAACAACAATGTTACCTTTTTTGATTTTTTTTTTTTTTTTGATCTTGTAGATGAGGGCATCATCCTTCACTTTTGAGTAGTTTGTTTGACACCTTCTTAGAAAGACACATATATGGTCCATTGATTTTAGGCATTATTGTATTTCATAAGCATATCATGATCATAAAATTTGTTTCATCCCAAAATACAAATTTTGAGTCTTCCTATTCCGGAGGAGTATCTAAAATATGATGTATCTTTCTTTTTTTCCTTTCATAAATGTCTTTACAATTTGGGATCATTTTATATAATTTATTTCATTCATGCGATATGAAGCTTGTAGCTCATCGATTTTTTTCTTTAATATATTTTTTTCACCATTCATGATGGTCTACTCTTTAGAAGGGAAATAAAAAAACCAGCCATAGTGAAGAGAAAATGAGTGGACAAGAAGGAACAAAGAAAAAAAAAGAATAAATATTGGAAGATGGAAATCCTAACATTTCATTGATGCCACCAAAAAGAAGAAAAGTAGAAAAAACTACTTTGAATTTTATTGATTGATTGTGTATAAAATATGAAAGTATTTATAGGCTTCTTCAAAATGTTTACACTGCAAATAAATCAAAGCTATTTACATGAAAAGGAGAAAAAAAATCCTAAGAAGGGATGACGGCTAGAATAGAAAGTGGAGGCACTCTGATTGAAATTTAAGGGTCATAAGAGGATCGATCTGATAGTTAGAACCCTTAATTTGTGTCCCACAATCCTTCAACATATTCCATAGTTAAGTGAGGGTTGCTTGTGAATGTAATTGTAGATGACTAAACTAAAAAACTTGTTATATAATTACGATAAAATTTTCTTGTTAGAATGACATGAATGAAGATCGTATGCCTAACAAGAGAGTCTATGGATCACTAGTCCTTCATAGATTCAAAAGTATATCTCATCCTGGATTCTCCAATTATATGTGGATTGTGGTTTGGTCATGTGACATGGAAAGCATTTAAGTCATCATTATTTAATACATTAGATTAACATATTCAAATTTATGCTTTTACTTTGTATGCTTGATTATTGATTTGATTAAAAAAAATTATCAACATGATGCGCAGGTATTCTGTCTGCACCACAGAAATTCCACAGAACACCTTTGTCCAGTTGCCAACCAGATAGATATGACTCTACTTATTTGCCCACTCTGTGCTCAAGGGGTTCGCCTTCTTCCAAATGAAGATCCAGACATCACTTGGGATATTCATGTAAACTGTGAGTGCGACCCATCAACTTATCAGAAGGATTCTAAGAAGAAATGCTGTCCCGCCGCTGGATGCAAGGAGATCTTGTTCTTTTCAAACACCATTCGATGCAAGGATTGCAACCAAGAGCATTGTCTAAGGCATAAATTTGCGCCAGACCATAACTGTGCTGGGCCAAAGAAACCCGATAATGGCTTCCCTTTCTTAGATGTGCTAAGGAGAAGCCAGAAAAGTTTATCCTCACCAATTCAAACTTCAAATGGCTCTGCAAAATTGGGTTTAAATTTTCTAAATGCAGCATCAACCATTAGGGCCTCTGCTGAAGCTGGTATGCAGAAACTGAGCATTGCAACAAACCAAGCACTACGAAAGGCAAAAGATGGAATGACGCAGGGCCGTGGAGCAAGTGGTGATCTTGTGGAGCAGTGCCTTCAATGCCAAGATAGATTCTCTAATGTGAATGCTCTGATTGAGCATGTTGAGAAAGCACACAAACACACTGTACAGCATGCTTTTAATATAGTGGCGATTGATGTTTGTCCTATGTGCAGCGAAACATTTAGAGATCCAGTATTGCTAGTGGAGCATGTTGAAGAGGACCATGGAGATTCTACTGGGTTTAGAGGGTAAACTCAAACTTTTGTGCATGTTTGCCTATCATTTGGGAGAATTTATAAACCGACTTGTTTGGAAATTTTTCTTACTGAATTGCTTCCTTTATTTACTTTTCTTCTATTTTCTGGTATTCTTTCACTGTTGTTTCCTTTGTCATGCTATTCTTGCTGCTGCTGCTCTTGTTCTCTTTCATTACGGCTCTGTTTGGTTTGAGGAAATTGGAGGAGAATAAATGAAATGGAAATAAAAATAGAAATGGTGAAGGAATTGAATTATAATTATGTAATTAGATATCAGCCATTTGTTTGTTTATAAGTAGAATTTGAGTGAAAAAAAAGTATGGATCTTTCTGTTTGCTGATGGGAAATTGAATTATTGTTTCTTGTGAGATTATATATTTTTCGACAATTACACTGATGGTAAGATTATATATTTTTCAATAATTACACTGATGATGATTTCTAGCATAGATGATTATATACTGATGATGATTTCTTTATCATGACACTTAGTATAGATGATAAATAACACATTATGTCTCATAGACATGTAAAAATTACTTAAAATTGAGAAACAAGAAATAAAATTTCTGTCCTAAAATCAGCATGCCAAGATTTGTTTTTTGATCAATGATTCTTATTGGTAAAAGAAATTGTCTTGATTAGGCACGAATCTCGAGTTATATTTGAATTGGAAAATTTCATGATTAAATTCGGAACCATCTGAATTCCAATCTTAGCAAACTTATAGTCAAATTAAACGTTTCGACAAGACGAACCCAACGATAGTAAAATCAGTCCAATCCGAGACCAAATGGACTCAAATCAAAGCTTAAAGCATACTTCGAAGCTTTAGAGCATTAATTAGATGACCAAATAATATCTAAATATGTCATGCTTATAGTTGAATTGAACGGCTTGTTGAGATGAATTGAACGAGCCCAAGATCACTTCATTCCGACATCATTAAGACAATTAAATGCTAAATGAGTGCTCTATGATCGAGGGAATCAAAAGGGATTGTCCAATGGAGCACTCTGAATGCTCTGAATTTGCCCTGAATCTTCTCTATATTTACGAAGGATGTTACTATCAGAATCTATATATAAGCTCTCACTCCCTATATGAAGAGAACCTGTTTGGCCAGAGATTGAAGTTAACTCTGAGGCTTCGAGTACACTAGAGCTCCAATTGATTGTTGATCGCCGTCGGACCTCTGCCCCATCTTCGATCCCCGTCGACCTCCATCCAACCGCTGACTGTCGTCGGACCTCTACCCCGTCGCTGACCGCCATAGTTGCCGTTGGAACTCCACTCCCTGCCGCTGACCATTGCCGAACTTTGGGCCGATCGCCACAGTCACCGCTAGAGCTTCACCTGTTAGTCGGCCTTCCTCTAGACTTGTGACCTTGGTCGCCTTTTGACCTCGGTCCTTAGACTGCTGTCACCCGAGTACGGTCATTCTAACCCCCATGGTCTGACCATGGTCATTCAGCCTCCCGGGCATTTGTACGAAGCTCGGCCGATTCCCCATACTATTGTAATTTCACCGTCCCTAAGTTAAGGGGAGAAATTATTCTGTGCAGAGTTCGAACATAGTTTGCGTCTAAACTCCAATCAAAATAGGCCATGTCACATGTACACAGTCTATGTATAATCTTATACACAAGGTGTGTATAATACACACCCTTTGTATAGGTGATGTGGCCAATTTTGATTGGAGTCCGAACGCATCCAGACTTCGCACAAAATAATTTCTCAGTTAAGAGACGAGTCAACCTCTATAACTTACTCAAATATAGTGGAATCTGTTCACTTGGTCAAGGCCTCATGGTTTTTCCCTTTTCATATTTTCCACGTAAAAAAAATTTTGGTGTCTCCTAGCTCTCTCAAATCATCTATTTGTGTGTTGGATATTCGTGCATCGTTAAGACCAAAAATTCTCTCTCTATCGACGTGAATCTACCAGCTTTACAAAACAATAAGAATGACATCCCAAACAAAGCCTTAATGAATATTTTCTTCTGCTTATATTTTACCTTTTGAGTCTGCATGCCCTAATTTTTCTTAACATATTTGTTTTCCTTTTCACTCTTTTTACAGCTGACCCAGAGTTCTTTTATCAATCAGAAGCATAAGCTGCAATGCTACAGAATCTGTGTATAATGCTTGAGGCTTTAGCATGGAGGTGATTTGTAACATTTTTCTAATAATTCTGTTCATTAAAAGTATTTTTCTTAAGGAATGTAAGTTTATTTTCATCTCCATAATGCTTAAGCTGATGCATTACACTGTTCATCATTGGAAATTTCATCAGTTGATTGTTGTATTGTGACTATTTTTCCATTGATATGTTTACTGAAGCTATGATTTATTCCTATTTCATGTCATAAAATTTATTTGCTGAGAAATGTCTGTACAGAGTTAAATGCCACAGTATATATGAATAGATGGAGCAATTTTGGGTCAGGATATTTGATTGGAATTATTTCTATAATTTTATTGTTTTTTTGGTAGCATGTGAAATAAAATTTAATTAATTAATTATGTATTACACTCATTTTAAATAAATAAAACTATTGCAAAAACTGATGTTTACTTAGGCTTCATTTGGGATGACTTTTTTACTACTTCTTAAAGCAGCTTTTTTATACAAAAATTAAAATTTCGATACTAGAAAGCTACTTTAAGAAGTATTAAAAAAGCCGTCCCAAACCAAGTCTTTTTAGGCTTCATTTGAGACGACTTTTTTATCGTTTCTTGAAAGCAGCTTTCTAGAAGCACATTTTTAGTATAAAAATTAAATTTTTTTTGCTAAAAAGTTGCTTTAATAAACAGTAAGAAAGACATACTAAATGAAGCCTTAATTTGAGTTATGTTATGATTTTTTAATAAATATCCCATCTTTGCAATTCTTAGATTTATTAAATTCAGGATTTAAGGCTTTATGTAGTTAGTTCGTTAATTCTGAGACCTAAGAAATATTCATTAAGTTGGATATCGGTTAACATAAATGCTGATTTTAAATTTTATAAATTATCTCAAATTTTTTTTAAAAGTTTTGATTTTATTTTCAGTCTTATTATGTAAAATTAAAATAAAATTTTTTATATCATATTTTTACTTAAAAAACTCACTCATAGATTTTTTTCGAGGTGCCAAAAGGGGTCGACTAGCTAGTTTGGGTCTGATGCAAAATTGATCGTACTGAAAATTCAATCAATTTGAACCCGATTTGTTTTAAATGGGTCAAAGAGATCAACTTAAATCTGACCTGCTAGCGACCCGAATAATCTGAATTATAAACAATTTATTTTTTATAGCTTATTAATTATAAATTTTATGATATTTAATAAAAAAACTAAAAAAGATTACAATCACAAGTAACAAAAATCTAAATAAAAAAGATATTAAATAGATCATTTTTTGAGTCAAAAGTGGGTTCGTACATCAATTTGAATTCAATCAGTTTAATAGACGGGTTGGAAAATTCAACCCATTTAATAATCAGGTTATAAATTTTAACCCGAATCCAACTTATTTATTAAATGGGCCAACCTAAACCTAAATTTTTTCAGGTCAAATTGTTTAGTCTGATTATTTATTGACACTCCAAAAATTTTTTGCATCATTTTTTATAAATTTTTGAGATAGTAAGCACTAGTTCAAGCCAAATTTTCATATCTGTTTGTATTTGATTTATGTAAAATTTTTGTGATTTGCCTAAACTAATTTAATGATAACTTAAATAAGCTAATAAATAAATAGGTATTAAATGAACTTTTGTGTGATTATCACATTAATAATAATTTTATAAGTCTAATTAAATAACAATTCAGTAAATTTGAAATTAATATTTAACTACTTGCTCTAATTAATTTACGTACAATACACACAATGTAATTGATATATCATCAAAAAATCATCTTGATCGGGCATGAATCTCGAGGCAAAATCAAACAGGAAATTTCAAAAATTAAATATGGGATAATATGAACTCCAATTTCAGCAAACTTAGAAACATATTGATTGTCTCGAAAATACGAACCCAACGACACCAAATTCAACTCAATCTGATCCTAAATGGGTCCAAATTAAAGACCCAAATCGCTGTTGGAAGGTTCAAACCATAATTTGGGTTACAAACGGTTTCCAAACATAGCGTGCTTATAGTCGAATCGAGCGGCTCGACGAGAAAAATCCAACGAGCCCAAGATCGTCGAGTTCCGACAACATTAAGACCTTCAAATGTCTGACGAACGCAACACGAGCAAGGGATTCAATATCAGCCGTCCATCCAACCACTATTCATTTACCTCTGATCTCTCACCTATTTAAAAGTCATACCACTCAATATATCTATAAATAGAATATTCATTTCTCTTGAGAGGGGATTGAAGAAAGAAGAAGAGAAGAGAAGAAAAGAGAAGAAGAAGAAAAGGATAGGAGGGAAGAAACTCCTCGACTACCGTCAGAGTTCTGCTCAATTTCTCAGCGACGCTAGAGTTCTGCCCGATGCCCTAGTGACGCCGGAATTCTACCCGACTCCGAAATTCTGCCGAAGCGACGTCGGAATTCTGCCTAAGCTACTCCGGAATTCTTTCTGACGTTTAAGTGACGCCGAAACTCCGCCCGATTTTCAAGTGATGCCGGAATTCTAAGTAACTCTGAATTCAATCGAATACAACAACTTGTGTGTAACTAGATTTCAATCCGAAAGTAAATAATTGTAATCTGATCATCCTAAATTCTATGGACGAGTCAGCCTCTTGTATCTCAAGTAAATACTAGTTAAACTTTTTCAACTGGGTGTGGCCTTGTGGTTTTTTCCCTTTCCAGGATTTTCTGCGTAAAAATCTGGGTGTCTTTATTTCTCTCGTATTTGTGTGCTAGATATCCATACAATGCTGAGACGAAAATTTTCCAACTCTATCGCCGCGTATATTCTAGCCCGCAATTGTAATATAATATTTAAATTGTATTTAGGTTCACACTCAGTGGGCTCCGAAATGGTGGTTAAGTAGAAAATTACATATAAATCATAATTAATCGAACTAAATATCTCAAAAAAAATATTAACGAAATTAATTAATGGTTCAAATTATGCTTATCCAACAGGGGCTGTTTTGACTTTTGAGATTTTCCACCTATGTAAAATCAAATTAATGGCAGCTTCTTTTTATCACATCACTCTGATTAGTGGCAGTCTTCTAATACTTTTTTAGTTTTATTTTAGCATTTTTTATTTCTTCTTTTGGCCATCGGATCAAACCAGAGAGGGGAAGCCGAAAGGTTTTTCATTTTTTCCGATTTTCTTCTTTACATCTAATATCTATAAACTTATATAAAAAAGGTAAAAGAAAACAGATTTTTTTTTTCCTGTAATCTGAGAGTTAGAAATGAGAGAAAGCGGTTCTTAAAATATTGTTTCTCACTGTATTTTTCTGTACAATTGAACTGCTTTTTTGTGTCCAGAAATGAAGGATCGGTGCTGGATTTGCAAGAAATGGGAAGAGCATTTTTACTGGGATCATTTCGAAGAATCAAAATTTCACTTTATGAAGGTCATGAATGGAGATTTCACTCAGAAAATGGTAATTTTCAGCAGTATTTCCATGTTCTTCTGCTCTTCATCCTTTAAAAATCTTAAAAAAATAGATAATTTATGTATAAAAAGCTGAGGCCTTTAATGCACTCATTGGAATTTTCCTTTTTTCTTTGTTTGGTTCCTTTTCTCTCTTTGATTATGGAGTTCATGGTTGGAAATTTCTCTCAATACATAATATTTCTTGGCACTTTCATGCACTTCTCCACTTAATATATTTGTCTGTTATCAAAGATCTGATATGCAGATAGCAATGTTAATTCCAGCAATCAATGATGAACTGTCAATTTGGTTGATATCTCCCTAAATCTTGATAAATTTGTTGTCTATTTAGTTCTGGATTTAATATTTGGTTAAATTATGTGAATGATTGGTTCAACAGATCCTGGATTTAACTAAGAATGAAACTGAAAATGCAACAACAACAACAACAACATGAAGCCTTTGTCACACTAGGTGGGGTCGGTTAAAAGTCAAGTTATCATTTAAAAGATCATTTCGAATATTTTCTAATCAAGTCTTTTTAGGTCTACCTGTACCTTACTTAATATATGTCAAATGTAATACCTCAACTTTCCTAACCGGGTCATCAAAAGGCCTCCGTTTAATGTGACCAAATCATCTAAGGCGACTCTCTCTAATCTTATCTTCCATTGGAGCTACTCCAACCTTTTCACGTATATTCTCATTTCGTATCCTATCTCTAAGGGTAAAGTCACTCATCCACCTAAGCATCCTCATCGACCTAAGCATCCTCATCTCTGCAACACTCAACTTAGTATTATGCTTCTCTTTTAATAGCCAATGTTAGGCACCATAAAACATTGCAGGTCTCACCACCATCTTATAGAATTTACCCTTAAGTTTGAGGGGGACTTTTCTATTGCACAACAAGCCCGATGCATTCCTCCACTTCAACCATCCAACTTGAATTCTACTAATAATATCCCCATCTGTTTTTACCATCACTCTGAACAATAATCCAAGATATCTAAAACGTGTACTCTTATTAATGACTTGATCGCCCAAAGTCACAATCTCCTCACTAGGTCTATTGCTACTAAAATTTCGCTCTATATATTCAGTTTTAGATCTACTCAAGCGAAAACCTTTAGACTCTAAGGTTGACCTCCATAATTCAAGTTTACCTTCAACTCCCTCTCTAGTCTTATCAACAAGAAGAATATCATCAGCAAAAAGCATACACCAAGGTATATCCTCTTGCAAATGTCTAGTGAGAATATCCATGACTAAAGCAAAAAGATATGGACTTATGGCTGATCCTTCATGTAATCCAACCGAAATTGGAAAATATGTGGTCAAACCACTTTGTGCTTCAACACAAGTAATAGCTCCTGAAAATATAATTCCCCAAAAATAATGTTTAAATCCTACCCGAAATAGGATACAAAATAACCCCTTAATGTATAATGGAATGCTCCTTTTGTTTTTCTTTTCTGTTTCACTCTCTTACAATAAACTGTTGAAAAGTTTGTATGATTATTTGCATTTTATATATCATTAAAAGTTGAGGCTAATGATTCTTTCATGTGAAATATTCTTGAGAGCGATCTGTCTCTGAAACTCAATGCATTATTACATGAATGCAAATGTAAATTTTGAAATGTCTTGTCATCAATCGGTTCTTTTTTATAAACAAATGTTTTCATTCTTCAAATTTAAATATTTAATCCATACAACTTATAAAATTTGACACATTGTGCTTTTTTCATATTTGATCAAAGGAGTTACCGCTAAAATTTGTCAAGAACTTTAGAGTAGAACTGATTGA